GTTATAAACACGTTTCCTGCACGTTGTCTGTCACTTTCGTGTAATTGAATGCTGTATATGTTCTTTTAATAACCGCTTTTGTTTTTGGATTTTTGTTTTTGCAAAGGTTTGCCCTAGAACATGTTTCGTACTATCTGTGAGGATTCGTTTCAGGTTCAAAATACACGATTTTCAGCATACTCGTAGGTGCCAAAACTCGTTATAAATGAAAATAGTGTGCTTGGCGCACGGAGCTCGAACAATCAACTCCAATTCATTTCAGTTGACAGGTTTTATATTGGGTAGAAATAATGCTACTACTATCTATTTGCACTCCAGATAATTAAGGCATTTTGCATAACCGAGGCTAAATCTAGCTGAACCGCTCACTTAAACTTCCACTTCACAAGAAATTATACGTCCTTTACCGCGAAATTCGTAAGCACATTCTAAGAGCTACTAGTTAATAAGACTCTACCTTGCACGAACTGTTTTGATATACTCTCAATTTTTCCCTTACGCTCTCAGCGTTTAAGCGCGCTAGCTAACTAATTTGTATTTGATCTCAAAAGCTTGATAAAAATATGCTATTGACTTGTGTTATTAGTCAGAGTATTAGGACAAAGTAAGGTCATATGATGGTATTTGGCTGAACATCCAGCTATATCATATATATCATATCGGTTTATTTCTCTCGTTGCTACTAAGATTCGCTAGAACATGACTTTAACCATTTTGGCGGTGACCACTGTAGCACGCCGAACGCTTCTGCGTATATGATGGAGAGCCGGCTTAGTGGTTGTCGTCAACGTTCAAGCTTGTAAGTATTTATTTTGGGAATTTTATGCTGGAATTCTTAAAAACCGTTGACAACAACTTTAGCTCGTATTTCTAAGCCGGTCGACGTATAAAAACTCGCGAAACGTTATGGTGGCTTAGCAACTGTAGAACTTTATTTGTTTCAGCAATCTCTATGCGGTCAACTAAGCGTTATGCGAGTCTCAAATTGAAAAACCGAAGAATATATTAGCAGTCCGGTTGAACGACTACAGTACACAAATTTTTCGGTAAAATTTTTTGTTAGTTTCGAAATTCGCAAACTTTTGCGTAACCCAAAAGCTTTATATTGCCTTCTATTCTAAATCCTAAAAAAATAAAACACAAAAACCGCTTGATAAATTTAAAATAAATACACGCGGCATTAACAAAGTAAAACATCTAAAAAAAAGCCAACAAGTAAAAAACAAAAAACAGCAAGTAGGGAATTATTCCACGAAACGGTATTAGAACCGCACCGAAAACAACAGGTCGTATTGTGAAGCTAAAGCCAATATACGTAAATAACCAAAGCAAAGCAAACGATAGCACGCAGCACAGCATGGTATGGCGTGAAAAGCACGCGAAGCAATGAAAAAGTGTGTGACGAAGATGAATGAACCGAACGAACTGCAACGAACGGTGCGAAACAGCGAACAAATGCGCCGAGTAGCCGCAAGCTATGGGTAGGAGTCATGATGCTTAAATATTGAATAAAAATAGATGAATTTGTTAAGGAATATTAAAAAAAATTTCAAATACAGATCTTGTGTGAAAAATTAAAACAGCAAAAAATGGTGTTGTGGAAAGACAGAAGAAGAAAGATCAAACGTATTAGCCGAAAAGCAAAGTAGAAAGACTAAAACGGCAGTAGTACGTTTGCACTGACAGGTTAATAGCATATGGTAGACCAGAAAACTATGTGATCAATACCATCTAACCGCTGATGTGGGTGCTTCTTTTAGTTATTTATTGTATCTAGCTTGCTGCTAGCAAAGAAATTATTGTCATCAGCAAGCAACCACGTCAATTAAGAAAAAAATATTCAAGTAAAATGAATTCGTGTTGTTGTCTAGAAATTTGCAAAAGCTCCAAAGTTTTTTCTCTTTCTGTTTCGTTAGTTTAGAGTTTTAAAATTATTTCCATAGAAGCATTTTTTTTTTTAAATTCGAAATCCTGTCTCAAAGTTATAGCAGTTTTGGTGTCGTGGCGATAACTCAAAACATACTTAAAATTTGGCATTAATATGTATTTCCAAACTAACAAAAGCTGAATATTTCTTATTTCTAATATTAAAAAAATCGTGAAATTGAAATATAGTAAAAAATTGTTTTTTTTTTGAGTAGCCCACATTTTACGAAAAAAAAAATTGAGTTGTTTGTTGATACGATAATGATGTAATCAAGAAACATATATACAATATACAATATTTCGGGTAGTACTCGGGTAGTTTTATTCATGTAACCCCAAGTGAAATCTTGTCTGTATATACGCGTACTAGTCTCTCAGAGTTTGAGATATCGATCTGAAATTTTGCAAACCTCCGTTTCTACGCAAATGCTGCTCATTTCATTCAAAACCACTGTTATCGGATCAGCATGTCATATAGCTGTCACGCGAACTGAAAGATCAAAACCAGAGAAGTCCTTCTGTGGAAAAATTTATTTGACAAGTTAACTTCATAAAATTTGGCGTAGACTATTGTCCAAGACAACTCTGCAATTTCCAAAGTTATTTTTCAGATCGGACCACTATAGCATATAGCTGAGATACAAATTGACCGATCAAAATTAAGTTATTATATGGAAGCTTTTTATATTTGCGAAGCGTATTTCAGACTCGGTACAACCGAAGTTAACGGGTTTTTTTTTGTTTGTTTTTTTTTTTTTTGCAAACTCACTGTTTAAGAATTGTTAAATATAAAAAGTCAAAAGTTGTATAATTGCTAAATTTTTCTTATTCGTATGGCCAACACTGTATTTTTGATTTTCGTCGCATATTTGTCATTTATTTTATTATTGTGTTTATTGCAGTTAAAAATTTCTGTGCGGCTTACCAACAAATACATTTTTATAATCCCAAATTTTTTTGCGCATCCCCATTCTTATGAACACTACCGTATTTTTTTATATGCTTCTATTTTATTGATATTTTACTGCAACGTTTGCAGTCTAATAATTTGCTGTGTATTTTTATATTATTTCCTACCTTTGTGACGCTTCTTCTTGTGACTTTTCTTTCTGTTTTCATTTCCATATTCGCATTTAAGACTGCTGATGAGCTGACAACTCGCATTTGCGTCTCTTATATGAACTTGACGAACGTCTTTAGCGATCATTAACCTCTTTACTGTTGCTTTAGCATAACACCAAAAACAATAACAGCAATAACATGGCTAACAATTGAAAAAAAAAATAAGAGAAAAACCTGCTCCCTTCACACTGCTCTCTGCCCGCTTGCTTTTCCATCCATATTATCGATACAAATGGAGCATTTCCAGCAAACAACTGAATATCTCTCCACTCTCTGATCGTGCCAACAGTTTATTAAAAGCAACAACAACAGCAATGACAATAATAAAAAAGAAACTTGTCATAACAATAATAACACCGAAAGTGGCGGAGACACCACATAAACGCAAGACTAGCTGTTGCTGCTGCTGCTGTTGTTGCTGTTGCTACCGCGCGTGTTGCTGAAAACATTAGGCGTTTGACTCACGTACGCATTTGTTCTTATTTGTACAGACATTTTTTCTTTTTGGCGTTGGATGGATGCGCGTGTGCGCGCTGGCGTAGGCCGCCAAGTGAGAATCACTTTAAGCGTTCATACGCCAAACATACGCGCACAAGTACATATGTTTTATTTTTATAGCACGACAGTTGTTCGTTTGCTCGCTTGTTCGTTGGTGGTAAGTTCGATTGTCGCGCGTGCGCGTTGCAGCTGTTCGCTTTGCTTACATGCTAACCATAATTTGATTTGATTTATATATTTTAGCTGCCGTCTGGCATCAGCGCTTCACATGTGTGGGGGCTTACATGAGATAAAGCAGGCAATAAACTCGCAACGCTTGCGAAACTGCAATCTTAATGGTGTTGCGCCGCCTGCGCTGCATGCTTGTAGGTGTTCTGCGTTTGCGTGTACTTCGCTTATAACTTTCTCCTATTTGTTTTCTTATCGCATCTTCGTTGCTTCTATCAGTTGCAGTAATCTCATGCTCTCCTTTGCTTAGACCACAATATTATGTGGTGGAGCGTGTTAGTCTGGTTTCTAAATTACATCTATTTGTTGGTCTATACGTGCAATAAATCTGTGTGGCAACAATTTTGTCAGCAAATAACGTCACGGCTTGCTTTTCGTTCCAATAATTTGCTTGATATCAACCGGAAATCTACTTTGTAGCTAGTTGTTGCTCCATAAATGTTTACGTAGCTGTTCGAGAGCATTTTGGGCGGCGTGCGGAATTGAAAATGACAGCGTCTTGTGTGCTATATAACGTAAGTTGAGGAGGATGTGGACCTGGTGAATTGAAGTCACAGCCGCTAGAAAAAAGCGGCATCTATAAATTGCTAAAGAGATTGTGAGCTTTTTGGGGACTATAAATGCAAGCATGTTCCGATTCCGATTCCAACTGACTGATAGATGTTGATTGTTTATAAATTCGGTTGGCACCAGTACCTAGCATCGATTACTATAAAAATCACTCGGAACTACTGTAGTTGTGCATCAGTGATTTTTAGATATCGCATTGCGTTATATTGCTAGCAAGACCGTGAATCTTTGGCCGATCGGATTTATAGCTGATGCCGTTTACGCAAAAATGACTGATATATCTTGATCGATTATTAATTCAGTGGGTTTTCCTACGCGGGAGAACGCCAATTAGTTGTCTTACTTGTATTTATTGTGTAACAGTTAATGCTGACGTATTTTATAAAGTGTTTGAGAAGTGTAAAATGCTGCTAGTTTAATGAAATGCAATTTCGCCTGGAAGTAAGCTATTATTTACAAAATCCTGGAGTTACTGTCAAATACAAATTTTGTATAACCGGAACAGTGTAAGTACAGTTGCTGTCTCCAAAGAAAATTTTCTTGCTAATATTATATTTTTCATAAGATTTAGTTAATTAATTTAAATAACTACAGTTATATAACCAATAAGTATGTTTTGTATTAATTTTTTAAACTTTTCGTTCTTCTCTTTACAGCCAATTCCAAGCTCAAATGGCCGCGGGTTCTTGAGTATTCAAATTTTCTGAATTGTTGTCGTTTTGCTCTACAAAATCTCCACTAGTTGTAACTAATTACAACGTTAAAAAAAATCTCGAAATTATTGAAAAAAAAAAGTTGACAAAAAGTACTGAAATATAAATCAGTAAATTAAATAAAGTTACAATACAAAATAATACAAATAATTAAAAGTAATGCAGACTAAAGTGTTCAGAGGCATGTTTTTGTAAATCTGTTTTGTGCAGCATCAATAAAAAGTGTGTCCATCTAAATGTAAAAATATAAGTCTAAAATAATCGATGTTTGAATGTTAACAATTAAAATGAAGAAAATTGCATAAAAACAAAGTGCACAGTGCAAACATAAAAGCACATAAGAAAGAGAACACCGTGTAAAAATGTCACCGTTATTTTTAAATGTTAAAAAGCGTCCAAGTACTTTGCGGCAGCGCAAACAAACATCGTTTTTGTACCACGGTGCAATGGAGTGCATGTGAAGCAACTAAAAATGTGTGCAAATATCAGTGCAGAGTACACGCCGTTTAAAAGTAACAACATAAAACAACAGTGAAACTATATTTAGTGTAAGATTTAAGCGTCGTGCAAGCCAGAAATTGTGAAATTTCCATATACTAAAAATATTTAAATTCAACTTAAAAATAAAATAAGAAAATCTTGCGGCAAAAAGTTAGTAAAAAGCGCGTTAAAGTGAAAAGTAAAAATATTTGATTTATTTCTCTACAACAAAGTGTCAACATTAGTTGTTTTGTAGTTGTCGAAACACATTACATCCCAAATATCCTACTTTCTCGCTTCAACTCTCTCTCTCTCTCTCTCGCTATCACACCCAGCGTGCGCACTGTTATATGTGCGTCCGTGTGAATTTATAGAATTTCTTCGTTAAGCAGCTGTTATAAAGAAATTTACATCTATGTACAGAATAGAGGATACCAGCGGTGCCGCAATGGATAAAACCAAGCAGAAATGTAAGTAAAATTTATGTACATTAGTCTGCTATGTATGTATGCATATATTTACATATATTTTTAACAAATCATATAAATGTAAGCTGATATAACATATGCAAGTCTATATCTATAATAATAAATTACATTTTATTAATTTAAAAATCTGGCAACACTGCCTGCTTGAATATAACTGAAAAGTAAAAAATAAAAAAAATTAGTTTCTTCAGCCATGAAAAATGCCTACCAGTTTTATATATTTATTTAAAAATCTGGCAACACTGCCTGCTTAAAAATTAATAAAAATTTATAAATAAATAAAACTTAGTTATTTCAGCCAAGAAAAATGTTCAGCATTTACAACTTTTCCGTTAAACAGCTGATTTCAGCTTTACTTTTTTGTATTGTAGCCACTCTGTGTTTCCTTTGCTTCTGAATTATTCGTTATTTTGAAAATATATTTTTTCACCATTATTTTACTAACTCTTGCGTAATTTTGCTACATCAAAACTCTCCTTTTTTTGACAGGTTTGAAATTTTTGACAATTTGAGTCACCCTGTGAATCGCAATAAGTTGCTTATTAAGTTTTCTAATCAAGCGTGCTTACGACAGATGATGTAGAGCATAATGCCTTGAAACAGCACAGAACAGTCGAAAGTTGAGCTGTGTTTTTAGAGATCGATTAAACTTTCGTGTTTGTCTTGGCATCAACATTAGCCAGCGGTAGACTGTGATTGTACCAAGCTGTTACGAAGTTTAAGCAAAAACTCGTTCAGACAGCTCTTACTTCTCTCCTTTTCCGTAAACTCTCGAAAACTGTTTGTCTGATATTTTTCTTTTTTTTTTTTAATAGTATTTGATGATGTACAAATTATGTCCTAACTGTTGTTGCAGGATATTTCTATAAAATTGCAAGGTGCGTCCTAAGCTCTCCGCAGAGAACCCACAACAGGAAGCTCCTAGTTCTAAAAAGTGCGTGTGTAGAAATAGTTACTAAGCTTATATTGCTCTAAGGATTTTGCCTTGTGATTTTACCAATCGAAACAATGATGCTAGAACTCTTAAACTGCCTTCCAGCAGAAACTAAGAGAACGAGTTTCGAACCCATGACTACTTGATTGTTAGCGCTATGTATGCTCTAGTAGCTTGAGTACTTCTGCTACTAAACTAATTTTATATATATTATATAAAGAGCTCTAAAAACTGTGAAGTTTCTTGGTCTCACGTCATTCTCATTTAATATATACATACATATGTATATTCATCTGTATATTCCATATTATTGCCGTAGCGTGCGAAACAAATTTTCTACTTCACTCGTCAACGGCAATTCAATTTGTGTATCTTTTTTTATTGTTGTCAACAACAACCATCTGTGCCTGTAAATATAGTCGCACATTTGTGGGGTTTCCCCCTCGTACAATTTAGCTTTTTTATGACTCTGACTCACAAAAAGGCTGTGCATACAGTTTTCTTTTATAGCTTTTAGTGTGGCCACCTACGGCATCGAACCCTGCTGACAATGGTACTGGTTGTTGTTATTTGGTTTGCCTACCTGTGAAATTTGAATTTAAAATGTTTTCTGCGTCGCACCAAAGTACACACCAAAAGTTGTTGAAGTTTTCCTTTAATTAAAAAAAAAACTTATTTTTTTACTTATTAGTTTTGCTTTTGAGTTTTAACAACTGTTTTTGTATTCAACTTCAAAGTTTCCCAACAAGCCGTTTTGACCTTTTTCCAAATACATTCACCTCAGCTAATTATCTCGCAACTGGCAAAACCTTGGTTTTTTGTACTAATTTGAGTTTTTTTTTTTTAATGTTTTTTGGGGTGATTCATTAAGCTTCAGTTATAGCGGCGCCCACAAGCTTTCCATAAATATATACATTCCTATAAATAATGTGTGTGTGTCTCTGTGTTTGTGTCCTTCCATATAAGTAAATAATAAAAAGCATATATTGTGCTCCGTCCACCGAAAATGTGTATATAATTGTTTTTTCCTTCAAACAGATCGGCTTTTAATGACACGAATAGTTGCGTGGAAATCCACAGGTGTCTGCTGTTTTAGACCATTAAATATAAACGCAAATAATTGAGGGTTTCTTCTACTATCGCCGATGAACTGTTTCGTATTTTGAAAGCAAATACAGTACAAGAAAAAAAAAATGCTGAACGACTACTTGCGAGATCATGTATCTCTTTCCGAATTCATTCGCAACAGAATCTGCAAACCGATACTGTTGGGCTTTGGTACCCGATTATTAATCTATTAATATTTTGTTTCTGATGTAGCAAAGACCAGAACCCGAATTACCTCTCATTATCCAATAACAAAACCCTTTCATCTCAGTCATATGCTCAGCTCAACTTGGAGAAACAGTCGGTATATGAGGTAACGACTAAACTTTCCTCTGTTACATATGAAAATGCAACAAAAGGATATTAAATGTGCTGAAGAGCATTTGGTCTGTACAAGAGATTCAGCTTGTGATACCATATTGAAAACTGCAGGAATTATGCTGTGAACTTGTCCCCCATCCACCGAATTTTCCAGATTTTATCCCCAGCAACAATTTGTTCTTTCCCCAGACTGGAAAGCTGGCTCACTGGAAGAATATTTCACTCAAATTAGAATGTCTAGATGAAACAAACTGCTAAAGGCCACACTATCGACCGCATTGAAATGTTGTGTCACTCAAGATGAACATTAGCTACCGTATAAAACCATCAACAATGCGTAAAATATTGAAGTCTTAGCTCTTATAATTTATGTCTGTAAACCTTACAATCCATTTCTTGGAATCTAAAGTTGATATTACAGTTGGTTTTTAAGTATTAAATCGGTTTGCAATATTTAGAATTTTCCTACTACAAGTATGTCATGATAGTTCTGGCTTCTCTGGCGAATTTGTTACTCGGTTCCATAAAACATGCTTAGATCAATAATTAACCTTGTTGGATCATAAGGATCCGTAACTGCCATAAACTTTAAAATTACCAACTTTCATACCAAAATTAGCAACAAAGCGTGGATTCACCTTTGCTGAGTGTTTCTTCAAACTGACAGCGCTTATTTTAACCTAAGCTCAAGCTGTGACCAAAATATGATTGACAATATTAAACTCGCTCGTTATTTTCACTACAAAATTGCGCGGAATAAGGTCAAAACCTTATCATCATATATGTTCCAGCAAAAAATAAGAGTTTCAGTTGGGTAGATACTACGGATTTCAAAAGATTGCATATACTCGTACATTTCTATATATTTATTAGCTGATTACTATCATGAGTCAAGCTTAGTTACTAACCTAGAAATAGGTTATCGGAGTCATACACAAAACAACTCACATCTATGACACCGACGTGACTCAGACAGTGAGCATTTCCAATTGTCGCGTTTTCGCTAATAACTCGCTAATAAAAAATAGCGTGTCGTCATGCTGCTGAGTTTTTTTTTTTTTTTTATAAAAATAGAATTTTCATATAAAAAATCGCACGCCAATTAATTAGCTCATTAGACATAGTATCCAAGCCCAACATATACGCCCACACCTCAGCAAAAATTTCCCAATTGACTCACTTAAGACTAAGCAAAACCGCTAGATTTTCTTTTGTGGACGTTCAATGCTATCGAATGAGTTTAAAGCTATTTGATGACCTTCGTGTTGTGCATACGAGGGTGTATAATGGTTATAGCGAAACCGTAGTGGCATAAGAACAACAAAAGCTCATCACTTTTGGTTTAACTATGATTAGCGGCTGTCACAGAGCATTGACAAGCGCTTAAGAAACAGGGTTGTATTTTCAATATCGAAAATCAACAAAAACACACATGCAATGTTGATGACATCTTGACGCCAACAACAAAGGCAACGCAGCAATGGACAGATGGTCAAACAAAATGTAAAAATAGAAGAAAAACATGTCAGAGATTCAACGAAAGCTTAAGTGCTTGGTGGTAGTTTTTTTGTCTATTTGCAGCTGATTGCTAGCCAAAAAATGCTCGCACGTATGCATTGCTAAATGAGGGGGAAAATAGCAAAAACACAGCACATCCAAAAGAGCAGCGGACCGGTGGCGTTGATAGGTATGACCAAACATTCTAAGTTTAGCTGTCGAAAAATAATAACAATAAATTTAATAAAAAAAAGTTGGAAAAACTAACAACTGCAAGTAACGGTATCAAATTAAGTACGACAAGTCACAGTCCGTCAGAGCGTACGGAATGTCTTGTTTTCAGTAAAAATAAAAACGAGTCATCTGAAAATACGAAAATAAGCAAGCATTTTATTTTCGTTGGAAATACAAAAAACAAAAGCAGAAAATGTCAAAGCAACGGTTGAATAAACGATAATGCAACATTTTCAAGTAAACGACGAAGCGTGTAAGGAGGAAACACACACGCATGGACGTAGAGGTGGCAGGAAGTGCGCACAGTCGTACACGAAGCAACAAAGCGAGTGATCGACCGACGAAGGGTTCAATGTGCAACACGCCACGCTCCCCAATACTAAAATTAAGAATCATTTCTCACAAAAAATTTAAAAAAAAAGTGAACAGTTGGGTATGGGTATGGGAAGGCATGCTCATGGCAGGCAGGGTTCTTCGACTGCGTAAGGAACGGCTGTTTGGCTGGCTGGTGGGCTGTCGTTGAACTCTTTACGCGCCACAGCTGTTTAAAATTAGGCAAGCAGCTAGTTAAAGAGTAAAAGAATAAACATTAAAATAAAAGTAAAGCAAAAGCGCACATTCATTCATTCGCCGGTTTATTGAACTCGAGTGGAAAAAATTGAAAGCCTCAAATTAGGGGGAAAAATAATAAAATGTTGCCGAAAATAGAAAGTGCCGAAGTGTGGGAATATTTTTCTGTTTCGAAAAGCGTAAAACATGGCTTTTGACGTAAGCTATTCGATTTTCGAACTTTCTAATTTTAATTAAGGCAACAGTTTTATTTTGGCATTTCTTTTGTTTAAATACAATATACATACATATATATATTTTGTTTTTAACAATATTTTAT